AACGCACGCAACGCACGCACGCACGCACGCACGCACGCACGCACGCACGCACGCACGCACGCACGCACGCACGCACGCACGCACGCACGCACGCACGCACGCACGCACGCACGCACGCACGCACGTGTATAATGTGTGTGTAAATGCACTTACGTTTTAACTTGACGAATGTTAACGCTTTGCTAATGCAATTTTTCATTAAACGTTTACGATAAGATGGATACAAATCTGTATATTAAAAATTGGACTTATAACAGTAAATTTTATCGAGTTGTATTGTCTGTGTGCAAAATTATTCGGTATTGTTATGTATTTACATAAGTAATAAGATATTAAAAATGCGTGATATTTTGTACATCAATCAGAAAAATTGCATAACATTCAGATCGCAAATATAGTTTCATGTCCAGTATGAAAATGATAGAACAACGATAGGACAAACGACTTGATATAACAAAGGATAAAGAAAAATAATCTTTTCATTAAAATTCATGGTTTCCATAACCATCTATTTCTCCTTCTTATAATAAACATTTTATAAATTTTTAATATACTCAAGTATACGCGAATTATTATACTTAATAAATATGCGTGAAACTATATTTGTCTCTGTTAATTAATTTGTCATACGGTGTAACATTGAATGCACATGAACTATTCGTCTATTCTTTTGCTCTATGCGAATAATTATATAGTGTGTGCACCAATAATGATGGAAGATAGAATTAAAGACATATTTTGTCATTATCATTTTGCCGATATGATTAGAAAGAATAAGGAAAAAAAAACAGTTTTAACGAGTATGTTTTAACCCTATCACAGATCCAAAGTTTACGCTCTGCATATGACGATATTAATATAAAACTACTAATTATAAAAGTAATTCTTTTTATCGGATCATTGAGTCAAGCAGAAAAAACGTCTTCTTTTACGAAATGCGGTAAATGAAGTCATGATACAATGGTAAGGTATAAGTAGAAAAAATACACTTTGACATGTGAACATTTAAAAATTTAAATAAAACACACACGAAAATTGTGTATTATGAATTAGTGTAAAATATGTGTGCGAGACGATGACGATAAATATAATCTGAGAGAGCTATAAAGCTAGATGCTTGCACAAGCATCTATATAAATTATAAATCTCGCAGTCTTTTATACTTTTAACGATGATAAAATGGCACATTTAGTGTATGAGCGTAATTCGTATATGTACACTTGGATTGCATTTAAATCGATACAATGTTGCTTAACGTAATTGTAAAACTATTCTTCAATATAGGTAATGAACTTTACACACGGAATAAGAGGAAAACTGTTTCGCGTGAATACTGCAAAAATTTTGAAAAACGAATCGATACAATTGCGAACGAAGCGAAACAATCTTCGTACGCGAATACATATTTTCTCGAATAAATGTTTCTACACAGATACTGAACACTTAAAATAATAGAAATAAGTGAATTTATGATTGAATAATTAAAAACAAGTCCTCTCGACTTTAAAGAAATAGCTGCCCCATTGTCGTAGACAGTCCTAAAACGCAATTAATTAAATGATGTTAATAGAAATACAAATCTTTTCAATATATAAATATAAATTACATGCATGCGCAGAGAAGAATTCTTATAAACAGTTCATTGAGGTAAACCTGTGTTATTTACATGTTCATTTTGTGCTTTATGCCTTGTGCAACCGTGCTGCTGCAAAGTAACAATGATCACATAGTTACACTTGTAACGAAGCGTGCATAACTGTGTGCAAATATACAATAACAAAACATTACATAGTAAAAAGACATTTCTAATTAAATCTCTGTAATATCATAGAATACAGTAAATGCATGGATCATCAAACGAATTTAGGATTACAGGACATGCAGAAAGATAACGGTAAACATTTTGCCATTTGGGACCGATGAGTTTACTTCGACGAGTTCACCCCCACAGTCTTTCTCTATTGCGAAAATACAAATTTTATTCTTTACTTCTTACTATTTTACTGGAATAATGTTACGTATTAAAGATTCCTTATCATTTTATTTTATAGTATACCAAGTATCAAAGAACAAAAGAAAGATAACGGATATTAATGAATTTTACCATTGATGTTCTATAGAAAAAACAAAAAGTTTTCCTTCTCGATTAAGTCGAGTCTTACATTATAATATAACGTAATTCTTTCAAATTATATTACATGCAAAATGTCACGACATAACTTTAAAAATAAAACAGATTTCTCTAAAATAGTTCTAAAATGCAGAGAATGCAAACGATAGTACATAAGAAACAAATCTGTACAAATAAATCGAAGTCTTCAGACCTTATTCAAATTTGTGTACGCTGATAGGTCGAATCAGTGAATAAATACTTTGAACATTAAAAAAGCGACAGCAATTATGCATGGACGTTGGTATGCACGATAGATTGACAATAACCATCATGTTTATCGGAATATTAAAATGGAAACAGGAATATTGAGCTTCGAAAAAATTCTTAAAAAGAAAAAAGAGAAGATATGCAGACATTTATCAGCATTAATATTCACATTGCAAGCATGAATAACGATTATAACCATTCAAAGTATTCATCCACAATGTGTGTGCGTTTTTAATTTTGTAGCAGATGTATATTTAGCTCTTTTTCTCTCTCTATTTACAACATCTACATAACATCGACAAAGAATTCACAAGGATTTCCCATCGCAATGCGAAATGACTGTCTACTACCAGATAAGTCTTGTTGATTCTGCTGATTTCCTGATCCCGTTCCCGTTTGAACAGATTGTTCGGAACCACTGGAACGACTGCGGCTTCCGTTAGATCTCTTTCCATTCGAACCATTACCGTTGCCGGAATTTTTACTTGGCATCGACGGCACCGATGGGTTATGCAACTCTGATTCCGATGCCGAAGAACACGATTTCAGATCGTGAATAGGTTCCTTACAAATGCGTTCGCTACCCGCGCTACTACCACCTGTCAATATCAATACACATACCCATGAGACATATTTGAGGTGATATATGCAAGAAGATTGCTTCAGCTAATAAGGAAGAAT